CACACACACACACACACACACACACACACACACACACACACACACACACACACTATATATGTGTGTGTGTGTGTGTGTGTGTGTGTGTGTGTGTGTGTAGTATATATATATTGCATTGTTTTGCTACCACACTTGCATATGTCTCTGCAGAAGAGAGATGCTAAATATTGAATGTTTTCTTGTGCATTTCAGCAGCTTAGCTGCATTGGAATGGAAGAGTAATTTTTAAAAAGTTATATTTGAATTGAGACTGTTCTTTATCCTTAAAAAAAACCCTGATTCCTTCTGAAACATTTAAAGAGATACTTTCTCGTTTTTGTATTTACATGGCAGCCCAAAACAACTTCGAAAAGGACTTTTGGATCCATTACAAATGAACAGGTAATTACATACCCACACTCAGATATCCATCCTCCCTCCTTTTTGATTCTTTAAATATGGTCAAATAACAGTTCTTTGAAAGGGACACTGGTCGGTGTTTTTTTTTCAAAATGCTAAAACGGGTTTTGAAACAGGACTGAAATGTTTCTATAAATTTGAAATTGTGAAGGTAAGTGTGTATTTCAATAAGTCATGTGTATTATAATTTCTTTAAAAAAATCTCCCCAGTAAATTAAATTTTGGCTTCTGCATGACATCTAACATTAGAGCTTTGTGATAGCTGCATGCACATCCCTAAATGTCACCTGACAATTCATCGTTTGATGGCTGGAGCAGGTCCTCAGTGAAAATAATTACATTTTGGGGATGGGAAGCATTTGTGATGTGGTGCCTTCTTCATCTCGGCTGGTTGTTGCTTCCTGTCGCAGTCATCAAATTATCAATATATATTATTCTGCTCATGAAGATTGCCACACATAAGCCGATTGTTGCCATATCAAGTTTGTAGAATTTGTGTTTAGTGATATCCATTGCTGTCTTTTCACATCTTTGGTTATTCAGGCACCACTGTTTCTTCTTCTTAAATGAAATCTAAATGAAATATCGGAACAATCTTGTCTCTGATGATGGAATATAAGTTTTGCCATCCTTCATCTAAAAGGAGGAAAAAGCACGACAACTCGCAGTTAAAATTATTTTTCTTTCTTTTTCTATTCACCTGCTCTTTTGCATGTTTGCCATTATGCATTAACACACATTTACTGTCCAGTTCCTGTGTGTATATATGTATATGTGTATATGTGCATATATGCATGTGTGTGTGTGTAAAGTAAAAATAGAGCTAATTATAGGTGGGAGGGGGTAGATCAGCCTATCACGTGTGCAATAGCTAAATTGATTAATGATGTATAAAGGCAGATATCTCCTCAATGGTAGTTTTTGCACTCTGATGAGGTTAGCGAAAGTTAAGTGGGTAATATATTTTAAGTTTCGGAAATTGCAATGTCTGTCTCTTCTTTCATATGTATATGTATATGTATATGTATATGTATACGTATATGTATATGT